TAGGGAAAGTGACAATTTCAATCGTAGAGATTTCTTTAATCATTATAGTATTGTCATTTTTAAATTTATTTTAAAATTAAAGTTTATTTTGTAAAAACTATTATGACAAAAAGTAGATAATAGAATAATACTTGACATAGCATTTTGCATAAAATAACACAACAATATATCTTTTTGACGTTAAACATAATATTACATTCGCATTTGCATTCACCAACTCGAATGTAAAAGCCAATGCAATGTTATATTTGACCCAAAAAAGTATTAAAATGGCATATTTGATTTTTTTTTTTTGCGCTACAATACATAATTGTACATTGGAAAAAGGAAAATTTTATATTAGTACCCTGAATTTTTGCGTAATCATTTTTAGTAACTTAGTAAATTATGCCCATAAATTTAATATAGTATTGAGAAATGCCTGTAAATCAATGGTGGTTGTTAAAATTTGGATGGAAACGTTTTGTGCCTGTGACATGACATGTGTTTTAAAATATTAGGTAATTTGTTAAAATTAGAAGTTTTTTTTTTTTCTAACTGACAAAAAATTCACGAGGTAAAAATAGGAAACACCCTGATGAAGAAGTAAAATTATCTAATATTTAATGTCAAATACAAGAATGTAAAAATTCTCCCGATAAAACACATGTCCGTTTATTTCGTTGATTCGAATTTTTAATTCGAGATAAGATGTGATTTTATGTGATAATTTTTTACTGTAATAAAAAAATGAGATGTGACTGTTTTTTAAAATTTTTTATTATAATAAAATTTAAATTCTAAACTTGAATCGGTAAAATAAACGTGATCTAAACAGAAACTGTATGGTCTGGCATTTAAGAATCAACTCGCCAATACAGCTCTAACCAAGTATCAAAGTGGCAATTTCTATTAGACTTTTTGTTCTTTTCTCATTGCCACTGGCAACAACCGAGAATGTGCTGCTAAATTATACTGCACCATAACCTTCTAGATCTAATGCCAAATCTTACTTAAGTCATCACTTGCCCCAAATCAACCCAAAAAAAAAAAAAAAGCTAACAAAACACAAGCCGTCCTTAACAACAAAAGAACTAATAAACGACAATTTGGAGTTTCCTTCACGAGATTCACATTTTTTTTATGGAAATGAAAAAAGACAACAAATAAAAAAGGGAAAAAAAAAAACCATGGTATTCTAAGCTAAATGCCCCTCATAAAAGAAATATTGTTAGGCATTAGCGTGTCTGTTTACAAGTTGGAGCAGTGTTGAACTTCAGTACAACTAAAACAATTAATGATAATTACTATTACGAATAGAAGCTTCAACGATGCCTATTTAACAACATTTTATAGAAAACCGTAATTTCTTAAAAAAGTGGTATGGAGACTTATGTGTTTTGAAATATGTACGCACAAATTAGACGACGGTATTCTAAGAACTATCGTCTAATGTGCTACAAAGATTGTCGTTTAATATATATATATATATATTTATATAAATGACAGATCATTTTCCACTCATTTTTTTATTAAAAAAATTTAAAATTTTATTGTCTCTTTGATAACTTCGAGCACTCCCTTTCATTCCGTTCTCTCAAATCCTCTTGTCTCTCTTAAATACCCTCTATTCTTCACACTATAATTCTCTCTTTCTAATTATCCCTCCCTAACACCTAAAATTTTTTCTCCCAAATCTCTTGTTTTTTATTCTCCACTCTCTCTAATATACATTCCTCATTCTCTCATCCCGCCGCCTCCATGATTCTCGCAACCGCCACCATATCCATACATTGTTGGCCTTCGTGATCTCATCATCATATTTGCCACTACGCCTTGACCATAAAATTGAAGTACTTCTCTTTGAAAGTCATTTTTTTTTTATGTTTGGATTTAGATTTTTCTGTGTATTTAAGTATTTTTGTTGTTGTTGTTTAATTGTGTTAAAAAACTTTGTCTCGATTTTTGAAATATTGTCGTTCCATCTATATTGATTAGGTATGAGATGGAGAATTTATAACATGTTTCTTTAAGAATGTTTTGTGTTTTGTTTAATGATGGTTTTTCAAGGAAACTATTGTGTAATGTGCTTTTTTTTGGAATCTTGTAACGTTCGTATTAGATGACGGTCAAAAGTTATCGTCGTATATCTTAAATAGTTAACATTATAGATTTACCAAATATTCTAATTTGCTGTACTTTCTTAAAAAAATAAAAGTAGCCTTTAAAAGTAATACTAAATGAGCACTAAAAATCTTTACACTCGTTTAGTATTAATTACTTATTAAAATAAATGAATACATTTTTTCGTATACACTCTTAATAAATTCACATGTCATAAGCTAATAATTCTTTGTTTTGTACTTTTTTTTTTTGTAAATTACAATTATAACTTTATTATATCTAATTTAGTAAACACTATAAAAAATGGGATTATTTTCCATTACGTCATCAAATAGACAAATAAACATTAAAAAGGGAATCCATGATTTACGTTCATTTCTATTCTTGTTACCTTTCTTTTGCTGGTTGGTAAACCCACCCAAGATGTATACATTGAGTAATAGTAAAAATGAGTTATCATATAATAAAAACAAATGAATTAAATCCCATTACTTTTATAAGCTCTTAATTTTGTAGAAATATTTACGGTGGACATGCTATATTGCTCCACCGACAGAAACAATAGATTTTAATTGTTAAATTAGTTTTTTAACAGTTAGATCTATATATATTCGTATTAAAATTTTAATTTGCGTCATGTAAAACTATTCATACTGCAGATTTGACTATTAAAATATTAATCTAACGGTAAAGTTACAATTTTCATTGATAGAACAGCTAACATGTTCACTGTGAAGACTCTAAATTTTAGGGTTCGTTTTGTATGAGGGTTTAAACCATAGTGATTCTAATTTTGATTTTGAAACTAAAATCATGATTTATGATTTTAGGTATAAATTATGATTTTAAAATCAGAATCAGAATTAAGAATTTGAACCACTTAAAACTAAAGGGGTGAGTGATTTTAAAATCATAGGTAATTTATGATTTAAAATATCACATTAAAATTCAAATATTAAATCAAAACCATTCAAATTAAATATTAATTTTAAGTGAGTCAAATCAAAACTATTTTTTACACTATATTTATTTTATATATTCGTCCATAATTTTAAATCATAATTTATAATTTTTTATAATATTTTTCTCATAAAAAATACACATAAAATAAAAATAATTTTTAATCTTTATTCTAAATAGATAAACCAAACGTTTTTTTTTTTTTTTTTTTTGTTGTTGTTGTTGTTGTTAATAAACACCGATTTAAACTTCATAATCATTATACCGGAGTAATCACATAACGAACAGTGACAATTAATAATTGCAGAAAATAAAATACAAATTGGACGATTTTCTGGCAAAAAAGGAGATGAAATTCAAATTGTACGTGGCATTCCAAGGGAGCGAGTAGCAAACCATTTTCTTACAGCCTCGAGTAGGCCAAGGCCACCTCATCAAGAAATGTGGGCCACCCAGTGAGAACGGGATCACATCCTGTCTCTCTCTGCTCCACTCCTAACCTTTTCACTTTCCTTTAAATAAATAAATACGGACCCTTCATTTCCCTCTCACAACCCCAAAAATCTCTCTTTCCTTTTCCTCTGTAACATTCACACCCCTAGCGCACGTTAGCATCTTCCATACTCCATACTCTTTCCATAGGATTTTGCAGACAGAGAAAGGGAGAGACGAAGAGAGAGAAACAATGGCGTCGTCGGCGAGAGTAGATCTGGACGGAAATCCGATAAAGCCTTTGACGATATGCATGATAGGGGCAGGAGGCTTCATCGGCTCGCACCTCTGCGAGAAAATCATGACGGTAACGCCTCACATCGTCCTTGCCTTAGACGTCTACAACGACAAGATCAAGCACCTTCTCGAGCCGGACTCGCTCCCCTGGTCTGGTCGCATCCAGTTCCACCGGATCAACATCAAGCACGATTCGCGCCTCGAAGGACTCATCAAGATGGCGGATCTGGTACGCATTCTTGAAATCTATGGCGTTTCTTTGGCCGATTCCGGTTCTTTCTTGTTTTTGTGATTTCTCTGATTTCTCTTCTGATGCGTTCTGGATTTTTGCAGACGATCAATCTCGCGGCGATCTGTACTCCTGCGGACTACAATACGCGTCCGCTCGACACGATTTACAGCAACTTCATTGATGCGCTTCCGGTGGTACGTAGCGTATGCTTGAATCTATGTTATTCGGTTCTTTGTCGGTGACGTTTGTTTCGCGTGTTCAAAATTTTAGGTGAAGTATTGCTCGGAAAACAACAAAAGACTTATTCACTTCTCTACTTGTGAAGTGTACGGGAAAACGATTGGAAGCTTTCTTCCTAAGGATAGCCCTCTTCGTAAGGTCGGCTTTCTCTTTCTCTTTATTTTTTATTTTTTTTCCACTTCGTCCGAATTGTACTTGTAGGCCACTTCTCGGATAGAACATCAGATCTGTGCTTTTCTTGGCAATTGTTTTGTGATTAATTAATCAATTTTGCAGTTTAAAGGATTCGACTCTATAATTCAACATTGGGATCTATATGTATGTCGGTGGCACCATCTGTGTAATTTTTTGGTCAAAGAAACGTCCGTATAGTTGACTTTTGGGTATCTAGTACTTGATTACTTATGGAGCCATTGTCAATGATAAATTCTATGAGCTTGCAGTACAACCCTTTTTTTTTATCCCCACAAAAAAAAAATGTAATTTAAGTAGAAGCATGGGGACTCAACTGTCTTAATCAATTGTTTATTGTTTCTTTTTTTTCCCCCTTTGCTTTTGTAAGGTTAGATTAACAATCTTTTAAGATTAGCATATATTTCTTTTGTTAGATCTCCTTGAGCATTGAGTGGTATATATGCAAGGTTTACTCTTTTTAGTATGCTAATTGATAATTGGAAATGATAGCAAGGTTGCTTACTTGGTTTAACCGTTTAGAATTGTTATGTTTCAGCTCCAAGGGAGAAATTCATGTTAATGCTTGATTTGCAATTTTGTAGGTTTGAGTGATGTCTATTTAACTAATTTCTTGATACTTTAGTATTTCCTTTCTTAAACAAACAATTCTTGGAGATAAAAGATTAACTGATTGTGTTATTGCAGGATCCTGAGTATTATGTTCTCAAGGAAGACGCCTCCCCCTGTATTTTTGGCTCAATTGAGAAGCAGAGATGGTCTTATGCTTGTGCAAAGCAATTGATTGAAAGGCTGATTTATGGTAGGTTGACTATTCTTCTTATGCGGTTCCTCTTAAGTTTGTGGTGTTCTATTGAATCTTAATCACTTTTCCTGATGTTCACAGCTGAGGGTGCGGAAAATGGTCTTGAGTTCACCATTGTGAGACCTTTCAATTGGATTGGACCTAGGATGGACTTCATTCCTGGAATTGATGGTCCTAGTGAAGGTGTTCCAAGGGTTCTGGCATGCTTTAGTAACGTATGTGGTTTGATTTGTAGTTTGGATCCACATTGCGAATATCTCCTGTATTTTTGTTGTAAATTGTAATCAAGCCCTTTCTTATGTCTGTTGCAGAATCTCTTACGCCGTGAGCCACTCAAGCTTGTGGATGGTGGTGAATCCCAGAGAACTTTTATCTACATCAAGGATGCTATTGAAGCTGTTCTTTTGATGACTGTGAGTTTTAATTCCGTCAATTATTTTTTAAATTAATTAATTTGTGCTTGTGGAACTTCGGACTGAATTATTGGCAATTCTTCTCAGGAAAATCCTGCCAGGGCCAATGGCCAAATTTTCAATGTGGGCAATCCTAACAATGAAGTTACAGTCAGGCAGCTTGCAGAGATGATGACTGAGGTTAAGACATTGGCCTATATTCTCTAAGTTATTCCTTATAATCTGCATTAGCTTGTCTGATCAAATTTGCAAACTGCAGGTTTACTCAAAGGTTAGCGGTGAGCCTCCACTTGAGGTTCCTACCATTGACGTGAGCTCCCAAGAATTCTACGGTGTGGGTTACGACGACAGCGATAAGAGAATTCCCGACATGACCATCATCAACAGGCAGCTTGGTATAAATCTTTTCCCTGTTGTGTGTTTTACTGGATAATCACAGTTGTCCAATTTTTATTATATTCCTCATCGTTACGGGGTCCACTGTGAGACCCTTACTGATCAATTTTCTGGCATAATTCATTTTACTTTGATCTCGATTTTAGAATCTAGCACATGAAAAAATCCGACTAACCTGTGTAATGACAGGCTGGAACCCCAAGACTTCTCTTTGGGACTTGCTTGAGTCGACCCTCACTTACCAACATAGGACATATGCTGAGGCTATCAAGAAGGCCATTGCTAAACCAGCTGGAACCAGCTAAAAGATATTCTGTCTTGGGTGGCACTCAAGAGGGTCTTTGCTTAGTTGCTGTTGTTTAGCAGGTGTTTTTCCCTATTCTTTTTAAGAATGTGAAGATATGTATAAATATCTTAATGTTCAAATCGAATATACGCTACAAATTTTTTTTTTTTCCTTCTTTTGTGTATCCGGGTTTCGCAAGTCTATAGTAGTTCACCATTGCTAGAGCTCAGATATGTGTTTGGGTGATCGTCTGAAGAATATTTCTAGATTTTCATTCAGGGGACACTTGTATGTCGTATTACTGAAATATGTTACCTGAGCTCGGGCTACGACAATCTGGGGCCGACCAAATTATACGAGGAAAAGCTGTTTATCTGTTTCTTTAGGGGTTTGCTTTTGTCATTCCTCTCTATTTTGTTAAAGGCTGTGTTGTATTGTTAAGTTTGACCTCTTGAGGCTCATTAAAATTATTTCTATAATTTATTAATGCGTCCATAATTTTATGTGATAACTTGTTATAAGAATAATATAAACTTTACAAAATACTGGTATTTCCAGTCTGAAAACCGTGGAACAGAAATTTCAGCGAGGAGAATTCTTCCGCTTGTAGTAAAAAGAGTTGAATTTGAATTTTTATGAGAGGAAATATTCTAATAATAGACGGTAGTTGCTTGAAAAATAACATTTATAACCCAAAAAATGATGGATGAGTAGATGCGAAAAATTGCACCGGATTGTTATTTTTAAGCTTATTTAGTTTGTTGATTTGAGTTTTTAATTGAAATTGATATGTAATTTTATATGAATTTTTAAAAAAAGTTAGATGTGATTATTTTTTATAATTTTTTATTATAGTAAAACTTAAAATTAGAGACGTTTGGTTCATAGATTAAAATATGTGATTATAATTATTTTTAATTTACGTGTATTTTTTACGAGAGAAAATATTGTAGCGAATCACGAACTATGATTCAAATCAGGGAACGAATTTCCAAACCAAACAACCCATCTCAAATCGGACTAGTGCGATGGGTTGGTTTTCTTATGATTCGAATCAGGGAACGAATTTTCAAACCAAACAACCCATCTCAAATCGGACTAGTGCGATGGGTTGGTTTTCTACATTTCAAGTTTCTATAATATTTGAGTGGTCCGTTTCCTTGACAATGGTCACGGGAGTTGCAAACTTGCAATAGAATAACACAAGCTGTTTTTTCAACTTTTGCTTTCTGACTGAATTGCAATACAAGAATTTGAGAATGATTAGGGCTGTGCACGGTCCTATCGAAACTGCCGGTCTAGACCAGTCCGGCAGGTTTTGGACTGTCGGTTTGGTTTCACATTAGCACTGTTAACTGTTAGTAAACGGTTTGAAATCAGACCATTTCATTATTTTTATTTTTTATATTTTATATTTTTAAATTATTATTATTATTATATTTTTTTTTATGTATATGCTAAGCCTCTTGAAGGGCACCACTTCGTTTGGGCTTTCTTTTAACTCGGGGCAATTTGGCGTTCGATCAAGATATTTATTTTAGAGTAATATTGATAAACACTTTTAAAAAGTGTATGAATTAAGATTTTTACTATTTATTCTTAATTTATAACCTTTTGAAAAAATGAATAATTTACCTTTGAGAGTGCATGAGTTTAAACGTTTATCCTTTACTCTTAATAAATATTATTTTGTTAATGTAATTATTTGACTAAAAAGGTTATGAATTAAGAGTAAAGAATAAAAATCCTGACTCATGTACTTTTAAAGGGTATTTGTCAAGATTACTTTCAACCTTTTTAGTCAAATGATTACACTAATAAAAAGGTATTTATCAAGAGTAAGAGGTAAAGATCCAGACTCATGTAGTCTTAATGGTAAATTCTCCATATTTTTTCTTTATCTTGCCACCACCTTCTTTCTTTGGTGGAGGGATTCGTTCCCTGATTCGAATCATGATTCATGGTTCGCTACAGTATTTTTTCTCACAAAAAATTCACGTAAATCGAAAATGGTTCGAATCACATGATTTGAATCCTCCAACCAAACGTCCTCTAATATGTGGAACTATCCAGTTTCTTCTGCCTGCCGTGTTTTAACTGGACCATATGAGTGATGTTAATCTTCTATATAGAATAGGTGTTCAGATAAGTTTAATCAACAAACGTGTCCAGATAGCTTCCCCTATCTTCGGGCCTGTTTAGTTCGTTGATTCGAGTTGAGATGTGACTTTATGTGAAAGCTTTTTACTGTAGTAAAAAAGTTAGATGTGACTATTTCTGAGAGCTTTTTACTGTAACAAAACTCAAATCGGTGAAATAAATTGAGCCTTCATATCTTCTTCCTTTTTCATCTTCGCCTTTTCTTTTGAATTTGCATTTTTTTATTATCATTTTTTTACAGGAATGTTTAAAATTTTGAGAAAATTACTGAATTTATCCTTAAAATTGTATGCATCTAAATTTTTACTTCTTACTATTGATTTATACTTTTTAATTAATATAATACTTTGACTAAAGAGTACTAATCAAGAATAAAGAGTAAAAATTAAAGGCTTATTCACTATTCTTTTTTTTTTTTTTCACTCTAAGTGTGCTTATCTCCTTTTGCTCTTTTACTAATTGAGTTACGTGCTATGCAAATGAGAAATAATTTTATAAATTTGATACCACGCCAAAATACATAGTGCGTGTTTGTTTCTGTTTTCAAAATTGTTTTTCACGTTTTTTGAGGTGAAAAAAATGAAAACGGTGTGAGAAGCTTGTTTGGGGGCAGCAACGTACAGAAATAAAAAAATGAAAATGTTTTTATCTTTCTCCCAAAATCTGAGCATTTCTGAAAACGAACTCGGATCATTTTCCTTTTCTCCGTTTTCTTCTCGTCCCTTGTCTCCATTTTGATTTGCTAATAACATTACACAAACGGAGGAGACGCGAGTGGGCGCCGCCTTTGTGCAGCCACCGTCGGTGGCGAGGGGAGGACTCCAAGCGAAAAATATGCGAGTGGGCGTCGTCTTCGTGCAGCTGCCGTCGGTGGCGAGGGGAGGACTGTAAACGGAAGAGCCAAACTCGTCAAGATCCTTGCGCTCCAAGGATTCGTTGGTGAAGAAGGACTTGAAGAAATCCAAGTCCCCCCCCCCTCTGGCCCACTCTTCTGCGACTGCGACTGCGCCCCACCCCCTAACCCCCACTCCTCTCCGACTGGCACCCTATGAGCGAACCCCCATCTTGGCCATTCTTCTTCCTTCGATTTTCATTTGTGCACAGAGAAGAAGATAGAGATGCTGAAGTTGCAGAAAAGCAGTATTTTCTTCAACAGAAATGCCATTAAGGGTATTTTCTCTCCTTCGTCCACTATTTATCTCTTCAAGACTTATATCGCTTCCAATCATTCTAAAGCCTCTCCGAATACTAATAATAATAGTAATAATGGCCGCCATAACAATACCTGTCACACCCCCCAAACGGGGTGGGTGACGTGGAGCTCGATTAGGGGTTAATAAAGTAGATTCCCAGACGAGCACCACTCAACTGAATTAAAATATAAATACATTACTACAGAATTCCGGAGCCTCTGACAACACACAGGGCTCCACCCACAGGACATACAGTATCGTACATATATAAACATGTGAATAATCATTACAACAGACATCAACCACAGTCTAGTTAATCTAAATATTACATAAGTTTATAGAATTTCTTAAATTCCTTACATTTGTCCAAGAGGATAACTCAATCCTCACCTGATCTAACAGTAGCAATCTTTCGCTACCCCGCACCGCTCCTAGAGTCTCCTGGGAGGGGTTTAATACATTTGAAAAATAAAACGTGAGCGAAAGGCCCAATAGGGTATAATTTGAAATAAATGTTATAAATAAATGAATAATAAGTGAGCGAGAAAGTAAATAAATGAATAAGTAAATAAAACAAGACATTCAGTCCCGACAAAACAGTCAGAACCTCACATCCTTTTTCTCAAAGGAAATATAACTGTAAATAACCGTTTTACAGGCTTCAGCAAGTAATTAGTACAAATTACTTACCTAACCAAGTGCCTCGCCTACCCGGACCGAATTTTGGGTTCTGCCCCTGAGGATGCACTCCCCGCATCCTATCTAGGCTTACAACAATAGACTCTCTTACCGGTTCACAAGATCTCTTTATTAAGAAATCATTCATTAACATTCTGAAATCGTTAATATGACCCCACGAACTACTTAAGCCGTGAGCCCCATGACTGGACAAGCCATGAGGTTCCATGACTAAACAAGCTATGGTTTTCAAAGCGTTTTTCTTTCACAAACCAATCCCTTTCTTTAAAACATTTTCAAGGCCAAAATCCTTTTTGAAAACAGGCTCACAAAGAAAAGGAATAGAAATCATACCTCGCACTATCAAACCTGGGACTAGCGTTGCCCTTTCCGGTTTCTGCTTCCTCAAGCCCCTTCAGTCTGAATCCTCAGCGACTACTGGTGCAAAACAACACTTTAGGATTAATTCTCATTCCTAAAGCGATCCAAATCTCAATTATGTACCAAGATTTTCAATTAGTGTGCCCTAATCCATTTTCATGTTTCAAAATATCATTCTAAGGGTTTTCAATCTCAAATAAAGGATTAACAATGCTAATCCATTTATCTCAAGTCCCCAAATGAAGTTAAATTGGGTTCTCCCCGAAAACAGGGGTCAAAACAGTAATTTCAGGCCAAATAGGGTCAAACCCCGTGTCAACCGGTCGACCGGTGATAGAGCAGTGCAACACTATCGGTCAACCGGTAGTGTGCACACCGGTCGACCGGTCAGCCTACAATCCGGTTGACCAGTTTCCATGTGATCCGGTCGACCGCACTGGTCGACCGGTGGAATCAGTTGCGCGAGAGAAGCTCGCAGAAATCAGTCCAAAACCTGCAAATCTAGTCCCAAATCGAAATATTTCAAAGGAAAACCACTAGATCTGGGTTCTAGGTCCTAAAACAAGTCCAAAGAACCCAAGATCTCCAATTTCTACTCTAGTTTTACTCAAAAACCATCAAAATCTGGTTTGAACCAAAAATAAGTTTTGAAATTCAGAAACTTGAGATTCAAGAGAGGTTCTTTCAGTAATCTTACCTCGAATCCTTCTCTTGACGTTGAAAACTTCTTTAAATCTTTTCTTGGTTCAAGATCAAAGAAAATGGACAAGTGTCAATATTTTAAAAGAGCAGTCCAGAAATGCGCCCATACACACTTCTGGTTTAAAATAAATTACTGAGAATAATTTAAATACCTTGGAACTATTTAAACTCACACGTGTCAGAAACATTTATTAATTAATACTCAATTAATTATTCAGATTAGGCACACTAATAATCTCAATTACCTTAATTAATCTCAATTAATTCTTCAGGGTGTTACAATACCAAAATAACAACTCTTGATGATGCTCTGAACGTGTTTGATGAAATGCTCCAATTGCGTCCTCTGCCTTCTGTTTATTTAA